ACAAATTGTTTAAAGATTTTTTAATAAAGGATATTTGACGATGCCACAGCTACTATTTCATCTAAGATGAATCTCCTTAGCCAGTATTGCATGTTTTCTGATGAACAAGTTGCAAGCCCTTCAGCGGTAGTAAATAAAGTTTGCATAACATCTCCTCCAAAACTTTGGAATAGCTTATCAAATATCTGTCAAAAGCAGCCCAGCAATTTGTAATTATCTCCACCAATTAGTCCAATTTATAAAATGTACTACTCCATATCATTTTAAAGTTATTATTCAAAAGATGGTCTTCAATTATCAGCAAGTAGATACACTAATATTTGTGGGTTAGTCATGAGCTAATACGTATGAGTAATTTAAATGGGTAACCAATTAATTACTAGTACATACATATGCAAAGGCTAAACAAGAAATTGTGTAGCAACCGAGAATTGAGAGACATGGGGGGGTGGGGGTGGGGGTGGGGGTGGAGGGGTATCTACAAGATGGTTTGGAGGGGAAAGATTACAAGTAACCTTGGAATGATGAAATGTATAAATAAATATTAAAAAAGAGGGGTCGCTGTTGTTCATGACAAAATAAAAGAATAGATGAAAACATTGCTTTGATGAATTATTTAATGGAAAGCAAGTTGGTAATCTCAGAAACATTTCTACTGATGATGAGGAAGTTAATAGAAATTTATTTGAGGACTGAAGTTGAGGTCATGAAAAAAGTTGAAACTGCATAAATCAATTGGTCACGATGAAGTTCCTGTTAAAGTTTGATAATGTTTAGGGAGAATTCATTGATCAACTCACATACCCTTTTAGCAAAATTTAGGAGACAAAGTATAGAGTGCCAAGTGATATAAGGAAAAACACTTCAATACCAAATTGTGAGAGAAGGAAGATGTACAACTTTTCAAGACTGTGGACAATATAGGGGGATACCATGAACTATGGTCCATTGCCAATGGAGTTAAAGATTCATTTTTGACAATGTTTTAGCTTCAGGTAAATAACGGATTGAATCAAAATGGCACATTAAACTTTCATTGCTTCTTACTTTCTATGAAGCTTTGGGTTTCTATGAAATTTTGGGTAGTGAATGCATCAAGGTTCAAACAGAAACAACCTTTGTGTTTTTACAGGGGTATGGTTGTGCACATCATGACCCCTTAGACCCCAACGGAATTGGGATTATACTGGGTATGTTGTAGTCATACCATGCATTAATGATAGAGGATGATAGAACAAATCTCAAAGAAATTAATATATTTGTGAACCAGGTAAGAGTTATGGAGTAAATACTTATATTTGTGAGATAGACAACAAAGTCGATTTGACTATAAGACAACTATTGATATATTATTGATTATTAACAATGATGTGCATTTGATTTGTATAGACTTGAAGTAAGCTTATGATAAAGTACCAGGTAAGGAAGTTTGGTGGGTTATAAGTAATGACAAATGAGGGTCGACTGAGAGAAATGTGCATCGAGATACTACTGAGAGAAATGTTAGAATGTGCATCGAGATACTACTGAGAGAAATGTTAGAATGTGTGTATAGATATGTGACATAAGATTTCGCTATCACGGTCTTACTAAACGAAAGATCAACAATGGGTGCATTCGTAATTGTGATCACCGTGGATGAGTGAATCATGATTCATGACTAACCAAGATGAGGTATATCTTGAAAGCAAGAAGACAAACCAGATGAAAAATAAGTTCATCTCTAAGAGACTATTTTAAGTATTATGAGATCTATTACACCAAAAATAGTTATATGGAAAGATGTAAGCTAAAATTTCTAGGACCAGCAAGATTACTATTTCACCTTGACGAGTCCAAAATGACATTAGAGTGTTAATACAACATGAGCATGTGGTACATATGGAAACAACAACAGACCTAGTAAAATCCCACAAAGACAGGACTGGTGTGTGTGTGTACGCAAACCTTATTCCACATGATAGAAAGTGGTAGAAAACATGATGCAAAAATAAATTACTGTACTAAACAATGACTAAACACAAAATTACTTTATGAGGTCCTTCAACGATAAGAAAGAAAAGAGCATCTAGGACTCTAGGTTATATTTGTTGAGTGGAAAACATAAGGTGTATAATATTTTATTTAGAAAATATTTTTCCGGAAAACAACATGTGCAATCTAATAAATTATTAATTATGCACCACTCAACACTAATGAAAAAGACAAACTCCCAAGTATTGTGTATGACACCAGATTTGTTTGGAAAGGGGCAAGTAATTCATAGTAAATAAAAACTGTATCCAAAAGATCAATTGATGACTAAAACATTGAAGGTAGAAAATAACCAATCACCCTATATATTGTCCAGGAGTATATTGAAAATGCAATGAAAACATGATTATGTGAATGCACGAGAGGAACAATATTACAACGTTCTTCTACAGGCAACACCAATGATGCAGGCTAATGGTCCTGCAATATAGTTGAATATGGTACTAAGCCTATATTAAGAGTAGTACACAAGGATTCGGGACATTGCTACAGTAAGAAATACCTCACCTCTAACACGTTGTACACCACATAAAGTTTAACTGTCCCTTGACCACGAATCATGTGATAAATTAAGCTAATATCTGAGGGGAAAAAATAAACAAAGTAAGCAAGACAAGAACAAACAATAAAGGAAGTGAATATACCCAGATGAGGCTCTGAAACTAATATGAATAACTGGAGGTCAAACCTCCATGTATACCTGTTTGTTGCAATAGGGTCACTCCAATAATCAGTGCAAGAAAACATCCAAAATCACAGATCTGAGCTGCGGATGGCCAAGTTAACTGTCTGCCATATGCATTGTTAGGTTATTTTGCAAGCTAAATATTTCTGCTCCAATGTGTCATCATACGGAAACGAGAAGACAGACAAATGTTAGGGTTATTGTTTATCAAGTCAAATGTTTTATTTTATATATATGTTAGTTACTTAGTAAATAGTGTGTAAGTGGGCCTAAATTCTAGGAGTAGTTGCTAAGTAATGTGGCAGCGAACCTAAAGTCTAGGAATAGTTACTAAGTAGTGTGGTAGTGGGCCTAAATTCTAGGGATTGGTAGTTATTTGGCTTCTATAAATATTGAGGCTCATTATTTGTAAAACTATCCAGAAAGTAATTCAATATTTATTATTGGAGATTCTCCTTGGCTTTATTACTTATATGAGTTTCAGATTCTTGCTCATATTTTGATAAAGACTTTTCTTTTATTATTTTATGAAGGTAGAACTCAAGAGTGGCAGGGAAAATAAATGAAGGATAGTTTTTGTTAAATTATGAAATCAGCATCTAACTTCATAGTAGGCTAAAATAGCAATAGACACCTTGAGCTAAACAATTTTAGAAAGCAAAGTTTCTTTCATGTGTAACCTAGTAAAATAAAGTAACTACAAAGAAGGAACATATACAAAGGAGGTGAAGGAGAAGGGATAAAACATGTTCTTCACAGAAGAAAGAAAAAAGTTCATTTAACAAATAACAACAAAAGAGAGAATGGCCTAACCTAAATCTCAAAAACTTCCAGAAGGTTATGATGATCCTTGTTGGCATAATAGTTAGCAATGAGAGAAATGAATCCAAGCAGACAAAAAACCCCACATTTATAAGCTGCACAGTAATATTTGTGTCACAACAAATAAAAACAAGAAGCTATATCTAAAGATAATGGATTCAAGAAAGATACTGCTTGAGTTTCCTTAAAGAATTATATTTACATCTATAACTTGTATGCGAGAAAAATATTGCTTGTGTTCCACCCTTCTTCATAAGTTAAGGCAAACAAATTTCAGAGGAAAACAAAAACTATAATACTCTCTTCATTTAAAAATATAGACCTCAATTGCACGCTTCACGAATATTTAGGAAACAAAAGGAATTTGGTCAGATATCCAAAATTACCCTTTAAAGGGTGGGTAGCATTTCTAAGAAGTTGTGAAATTAAGGCAATATTTCAAATCATAAAAGATTAAATTGGAAAAGGTAAAAATTCAACAGAGTCAAAAAAAATGAAAGTGGGCCAAATTGTGGGATAAGCAAAACAGGAAAGTAAGACTTATAAAATGGGATGAAGGAAGTAATTTTCATAAGGCAGCGCTTCATATTAGTTGTTTACTTGTTTCACAGAACCATTCATCTTGCATCATACCAGTTCACACCGCCACGGTAGGTGAATTATTGTGTCATACACTCTCTCCCGCTCTTTCTCATTACCAAGGCAGACGGTGCTTTTTAAAGAATTTCCAGCATACATCTCTTCCACTAAAAATTTCACTGGTGAATTCTCCACAAGAAATTCATCTGCAGAAAATCAACAAGGAAAACAAGCTAAATGCATACTCTAATGCAAATTATTAACCCTCATTCATTTATTTTTCCTTCTCTTTTTGGACAGTCTCCTCTGAAAATCATATCCTCCAGAATGAATAAGAATGAAACCCCAAAAGACGTAGACTACTGTGTTTAAGAATCTCATGATTTCGCTATAAACACTTGAAATATAAGGAAAATATATTGGAAATTGGAAAAGCTCTGGATGATATACCAATTCAGTCAACAACTAAAGAATTTGTCAATAAGGTGATTTTAGCAAGATTTCTCTTTCTAGTGCTATGTTTAAGAAATGAAACTTTTACTTTTAGTAGAGACTAAAATTAGCAGGGGATCTTGTTTTGTGTTCACACAGTCAGCCAGTCTAACATATACCAGTGAACAACATTCAAAATTTATGAGAAAGAATGCTTATTAGGGAACGTAAAAGGCTGTTTGTAGTTCTCGTGACGAGAGCTTAAAGTGTGTATGCAACAAGGAGCCAATGTATAGTAGGTGTACAACCTATGGATACCCTGAAGTTAGAGGATTAGTCCTTCCCTTATAGTGCTAAGCACCTACTACATTATATGTCCTCTGTCGGTGTGTCCTACTTTCTTTTTCCTTTTTTCTATTTTGGTTTGCCTAAAATCTTTTGTCCCATACAATATTTGGCCTCTTTTGTCCCATACAATATTTGGCATGACTTATGTGGCTCATATCAGTTTATATATTAGAAAATCAAAATCTCACAGTTCTACTTTTCCTAAATTTGCATGACACTCTGCCATGCCCAAAGAATGGTGGGATGCTTATGGGTGCAATAAGAAAGTCCCTTGCAATGATAAGAATTGCATCCATAGCAAAATATAAAAATATGCCTTGCAAACCATTGAGGATCCCAGCTACAAGGTGCACAGCCAGTCTAAGGCCTAATTTGGATGTCTAATTTGGCATCTTTAGCTCGAACCTGCTCATCCTTGATCATGGGTTAAACCCAATCTACAATGCTGCAACCTTGTCAACTCGGGCCCATAGTATAGCGCAAGCATTACCTCCAACCTTTTTGTTCTTTTTGTCTTCGATATGTTAACTTAATATCTTCTGGTACTTAACATTTATACTTACAGATAAATTTTCTTCTTTTTGTGTCTATAACATTGGGATGTATATGTTCACATCTTTTTGCAGTTTCAGGAGTCTGTAAATTTCAAATGGTTAAATAGCATAACACCATCATAACCCACTAATTAAAAAAAGAATGAAAGATATTATCTAGAGAGTTAGCAAGAAAGAAACGCAGATTGGTAGTTTCACTTCTTAACACCAAAATGAGAGCTTTATCATTTTTTATGCATCCAAATTTCCTTCAGACAACATGGTTCCATTACGTATGGTTTTCCTCTGCACATAACCCAAAATGAATGGCAAACTACAACCTGTATATGACTTATATGCTAAGATGTCCTTTCAATTGAACAATTATAAAAAAGTGTACTTTCCAAAAAACTTATGTAGATCTTGCTTTCAATCAAATGCTGTTCATATGATCAAAATGGTTATGATATGATAGGGTGCAAAGGGTGGCCAACCTTATATCATGTCATTAGGCCCAATGAATCACCACTTTTTAAAATCTAAACACATTTTAAGGGACAATTAGCGGATGGGTGTACAAAAAATAGACACATAACAAACAATGGAATAAACCTTACTGTTATGATCCTCAGCCATCAATCTCTTCCAGTCCAAAGAGACTTCAGTTTCCAAATTCCGCCCCACAGTCACATCTCCGTTCACCAATGTATTATGATCCACCGTCTCCACTGAGCTTTGTCCATCTCCATTGCTCTTGGTCTCCTTGCTCACTGGAAAGGAATCCGCTCCCTCTTCCCCACCTCCATTTAAAGCCGCATTCCTCTGCCGCAGTTCACGATACTGCATCCCTATTACCGAGCTCACAGTACACTTACTCTCTTCCGGCGGTGCCGCCATTTCCTCAAAAACCACGGCGCTGCTCTGCGGATCACAGCAAATGTAACTCTGCAATTGTGTTTCAGTGGTGGAATTTTCAGAAAGAAGCGAACGTTCAATCACTCCCCTCTGATTTCTCTTCTTCTTCTTCTTACGTGGTTTTTGTTGGCTGCCGGGAGGGTTTAAAGCGCCGTCTTCCGGAGCCAGTCCTGGAGGATCGGAATTGGATCGGCGAATAGCAGCGGCTGCGGTTGAGAGCCATTCAAGGTCCTCCCCGTCGCCGCCGGCTGAAGCGGTGAGAATATTGAACGATATTCTGCGTCCACTCGATCTGATCGCCATTGATCGCCGCCGGTGCGCCGCTTCCCGTGGAGCCGAGGGTGAGGGTGGTGAAGAGCTCTTGGGATTGCCTCGTACTCATTCCCCCCAAGAACCCGCCCGTTTTACCCGTTACATTTTACCTATTGGTGAAAGAATAACATTGTTTTTAGGGTTAAATATATTTTTAGTCTTGATAAAATAAATAATTTTTATTGTTAATCCATGTACAATATATTTTTGTTCAGTGATCTTTACAAATTTTTTATTTTTAAAATGTTCTTTAAATATAATTTACATTTTTTGCTGAGATATCATAATTATTTCGTATTAAACATTATAGTCTTGCAGTTTTACCATCTCCAATGCACTTTCATGTTCTAAATTGTATTCTTATTCATATTACATATCTAATTCTCAATTTTTACAAAGATAATATAATAAAATTTGAAAGTTGGGATGTAATTCGATGAAAAAGACGATCTATGCCATGAGAATTGCACATAAGGTAATTTGAAATGCAAGATTGTGATTTTAAGTATAAATCAAATGTGATATTTCAAGAAATTAGAAATGTAAGTATGTTTAAAGACCATATTCAAAAAAATTGAAAGGGAGAAAGTATGTATTACGTGAGTGAGAAGGTATGTCGCTCGTGATAGCTGGAGCGCTTGAGAATGGTGGGCCAAACGGGCGCGCCGGATTAGATGTTTGCCACTGTCGACGATGAGGGGAGGCATGCATCTTTTCTCTATGAATAACCTCAAGATTACGGGAAAGGGCGAAGGCATTTCAGAGGGTCTAAGGGTTCCAAATGTTCAGCTTGTATCTAGGACTAACGCAACTTAGAGATGATAGTTGTGGCAGCCCAATCAAAGTGACATGGAGCCCAAGACGTAAGTAACGATCTATGAACTTGTGGCGGCCCAATCGAAGAAATGGCCGGGTTTCACCTTTGTATTATCCATCCATATATGTTAGTGAAATCTTTATTATTCAATAAGATCAATTATTATCAAATTGTATCGATTTCTAAATAAAAAAATAGGCTATATGCATCTAGGTAGACAGTATGTGAGAAAATCACACAACAAACTTCCTTGTACGCAGTCACTTTACTCCTTTAACCCTTTATTTTTTCTTATGTTTTTGTGCTTTTAATGCGTGGAATGTTGTTTTCCCAAAGGGTATTACCTTTTGCTTAAATTTCTTCAAAGCTACCACCTTTTCGATCACCTTTTCCTTCATAATCTATGACTAAATAAATATATATATATAGTCAATGACGGCCTATCCCCTCCGTTATTGCTCCTTCGCATTTGCTTTGAAGAAAAAAAGAACATTGTGATCAAATACCCACTCTTTGATTTATTTCATTTGATTCAACCATGATTTCTGATAGTGACGACTAAAATTATTTTTATTTGAAAGTAATTTGATATTTTATAAATCTAAAATTTACTCTACATATACTTCTCTCGTTTTCTAAAAATGATTTACGCTTTTACATACTATTACGACATCTTGGTAACTTTTGTATGTTTGCTTATTTGCATTGATCATTTTATTTAAGTTGATATTAAAAAAATTATAAATTAGATATTTAATATTATATCAAAAATTCTATAAGATAAATAGTGACAAAAATATTTTATTTTAATGAATGATCAATGAAACCATACAAAGAAAAGATAGGGACCGAGGAAGTATAACCTAAGAGCAAAGGCAGTGGCGAGGCATTGCCTCCCACGCCCTGCCACCTCAACCCCTTTTCATCTAATGCCTCGCATGGCATCCTCATTTGTCCATGGTTTGAGAGTCATCGGTGAGGCAGCCTATTCTCAATTTCTTTTTTTATTTCTTTTTAAATTTCTTTTGTACAATAAAGAAATCTATTTTTATAAAAAAATATAAATAATTTTTTTATATAATTAAAATACATCAAAAAGTGTAAAAAGTGGGAAAATATTGACTTGTCACTACATTGAATGTCAGTCTTTTCACTTGTCACACGCTAAATGAATTATTTTTTTATTGGTTGAAGAGTTCCATCCCGTGGTATTTTTTCAGAAATAGTCCTAGATAAGACTAAAACATAGAGAAAAGTACCAAAATATGACTTACATTTTTTTTCGAAATAAGACTTCACACTGTGGTAATGTGGTTGTAATGTGGCATTGTACATGTGCATATTACTACACTTTTTGGTAATGTACATTATCATGTTTGGTAATGTAAATGCATTTTATGTTCTATTTTGAGAATAAAAACATGGAAGTTCTATTTTGGTATATTTTTAATATTTTAGTGCTACTTTGGTCTTTCTCCTAAAAGCACCCTAAATGATGGGTAATAACCCATGAAAACCACCCGGTTGGTTCGCCCGATTGGGTGGTGATTGAAGATGACAGAGCACATCCTTCTCAGGCCGGGTCGTGTGACCGGTTGGTTGGGAGGCTTGAACGCACAACAGTCGCAGCAGATTCTTGAAGTACTCTTATGCAACCGGTGAGATAATTGACCGGTTGGATAACCCGAGACGTGCTTGACGTGCTTAATCTTGTTATAAATACCCCTAAAACCCTCATTTGTGAGGCATGTTTTAATTAACCTACACGGCTTGTACTTTGTAATAGTCTTACTATTATCATCAATAACAAACCGGGTTACAGGTGTTTCCACCTACAGCCCTTCCGATCACTTTTACTTAATATTTGCGTGGTAATTTACACTATTACTAAATAAGACTAAAATATAGAGAAAATATCAAAATAGGTCTTTCATATTTTTTCCCTGAAATAGGACTTCACATTGTGGTAATGTGGCATTGTACATGTGTACATTACTATACTTTTAGGTAATGTACATGACAATATCTGGTAATATAAATGCATTTTAAGTCCTATTTTGGGAATAAAAATATGAAAATTCTATTTTCGTATATTTTCAATGTTTTAATTCTACTTTAACCTTTCTTTTTACTCTACCCATTGTACATGCTTTAAGGTTGTTTGAATTTAACAAAAAAACTAAGGAGTCTTGTTAAAAGTGGAGAATGAGCGGATATATATATAGCTAATATCCTGGCTTGTTACATGTAAGAGGAAGGGTACATCTGAAAATACTGAGTAGTCTCTTTTTCTTTCTTGTTCTTAATTATGGCTTCAACTGTGTTGCTCCTCCTGTTCGCGGCGGCGGCGGCGGCGGCCTTTACTTCTGTTGCAGCGGTTGATGATCATCAGTCCCCTGACAGCCCTGCCATGTATAAGCTGAAGGCCAGTCTTGAGTTCCCGCCGGGGTCGCAATTCCTGATTAATTGGAATAACGTTAACGACACGTGCAAGTGGGCAGGAGTGCGGTGCGACGGCGCCGGCCGGGTTTGGCAGATCGTAATCGAAAACTACGGTCTCAAAGGTACCTTCCCGGAGGCCGTTCTCCGAGAACTCCCCTGCCTCAGTGAGTTCTACGCCGGCCGCAACAATTTCACCTCTTTCCCGCCGGATCTCTTTCGTAATTTGTCTAATTTGGAAACACTTTCTCTAGACTACAATATTTTTCTCAAGTCGTGGCAGATCCCGGAGACTCTCACGGCGGCTCGGAAGCTCAAGTTTTTCTCCGCCGCCGGTTGCAACATCAACGGCCGCTTCCCGGAATTTCTCACCGGCGATAACTTCCCTGCCTTGCAACATCTTCATCTGTCGTACAATTCTTTGTCCGGGCATCTCCCTTCCCAGCTGCCGACCACTCTGCGGACTCTGTGGTTGAACCACCAAGACGGAAAAGACCCGTTGTCCGGCGGCATCTCTGTGCTGCAGGGGATGAAGCGGCTATCGCAGGCCTGGCTGCACGTGAACACATTTTCCGGCGAAATACCCGACCTGTCAGGCCTGACATCCTTGCAAGATTTCCTCGTGGGGTATAACTGTCTTACCGGTACGGTGCCGGAAACAATGGCGAGCATCCCTTCGCTGCAAAATGTAAATCTGGCGCATAACCATCTGACCGGAACTATTCCTCGGAACATCAATCGTCTGACGGGTCTTCTCACACTGGACCTTTCTTATAATCAGCTTTCAGGTTGTGTCCCTACAGGATTTCTCCATAATGTGACTGTTATAACAGACGGAAATGTTGATATAAATGGAAAATGCCCGCCGCCGTGAGGACGACGACGACGTTTATGTCCTGCCCAGTCGAAGCTCTGTTTCTAAATGACTCTAATATTTTGATTATAAATATCAATATTGATTGATATATATTATACTCGTCTCAGTATATTCCAATAGTCTGACATTTTTCAAGTTAAATTAGATAAACTTGAATCTCTATTAAATAAAAATGGTAATATATTTCAGTTTGGAGTTTAAAAATTATTTCAATCAGTTTATTTTGTTTCGAAAGATTAACATTTTAATTTATAGGATCAGTATGCAACACAAATTAAGAGAAATTGATGATTAAAGTTTATCCAATTTAAGTTAAAAAAGTAAAATTGAACTAATACACTTGGACAAATGGAATGCATTTTATAAAAAGGTTATAATTTAAAACAATATTTCAAAAAGGTTAAAATTTACAAATTTTGACAAAAAATTCAAATAAAAAGTTTTTACATTCAGTTATTGTTCTTTCCGTTCAGTTTATTTCTTGACACAATTTAATCAATTTCAGTTCATTTTTTATTTTCCCCACGCACCCCAACCCATTCCTATAGAGGAGGGCACTTTTCTCCTTCCCTCCCGCGCCATTTCAGCTTCCCCTTTAGCTATAAATCTCTTTCTTCTTTCCAAATTGATCCATCCTAATTAGTAATCAAAATGTTTCTCATTCCCTTCCTCAATTTTCTCTCTAAATTGTTTTTAAAAATGAAATTAAATTAATAATAACAACAAAAAAATAAATACAATAGAGATAAAATAAATAAATAATAATAATAACATAAAAACAATTAAATAAAAAATAAAAATAACAAAAATACTCCGTAGATATGAATTACAAATTAAAAATATCAAAACAATAGTAATGATAATAATAAATAAAAGTACGAAACATAAAAAATAATAAAATCAATAATTAAAAATTATAAATTACAAATGGATAAATAAATAAGTAATGGTAATAATAATGATGATAGTAATAGCAATAATAATAATAATAATAATAATAAAACTAAAAAATAGTAATAATATTAGCAATAAAAATAAGAAGAAGAAAATAAATGAAATTAATTAAAATAAAAATAATATAAACAAATAAAAAATAAAAATTAAAAGTAAAAATTAAAAAATGTAAATAATTTAAATAAAATTCAATGCAGATGAGGGGAAGCCGTCTCATTCCTTCATGTGCCATTTCCTCCTATCCAATAATAATGATAGGCAAATTCTTTTGTGGACCCAAAGTTCATGCTCATTTTATGGACATTAGTGTATTTGTAACAAAAAAAGGCAAGCCTTTAGCAAAATCGAGAACATCCACGTGAAAGCTCATAAAAATGTGAGAAGGTCTACATTTTAAATGTGAATGTTATGATCATAAAAACATTACTCATAATAGTAATAATGATGGTTTTTTTTTTCTTATTACTTCTTTTTTGTGCATGAAACATTCTTTTTGGGAATATGTATTATCTTTGGTTTAAATTTCTTCAAAGCTGTCCCCTTTTCTCGCTAAAATCCATAATTTTTGCCGTAATCTTTGGGAGTCTACGACCATTTAGACAAAATCTAGAATGTTTACTAAAGGTTTGGACTTATGAGTTAAAAATTATACTCCTTTTGATTTCAAACTAGTATCACACTAGTGCATTGCACGACTCGCATTTACGTTATTAAATTATTTTGGGAGTGTTATTGAAGAATACAAACGGGCATATAATGGAATATAGATCCTGTTTGGAAATGGCGTTAGAAATAGCGTTAGCGTTTTGGATAAAATTTTAACTATACAGATTACTTTAAAAACGTTAACGCTAAACGTTGTTCGCAAATACCTTTTTCAAAATGCTAACCCTAATCTCCAAAGCTATTCCCAAACATGCCCATGGACTTTTCATTATTTTAAAGTATAAAAATTAAATGAGTTACGAATTCTGAAAAACTTCTTTATAAACTAAATTACTCACACAATTCGTGGGAACATCTTTTTTGTTATATACGTAGTATCAGAATCTTCAAGCCATTACGATTTGTCGTTACTCCTGAAGTTGGAACATACATTTACCCATGACTAAATATTGATTTCCGTAAAACTAATCCAACATGTTTTAGAGATTGGTCTTGACTCTTGAACATAATTTTGAATCTCGGTTGCCCATGACTAAATACAATCATTAAAAATTAATCTATTTAACGGAGTCTAAATTCTATAAAGGTTTGCCACGACTTCTAAGCAAAATTTAATCTATTGAGGCATATCTGGATAATTGTGAAGACTTTTACCACGACTTCTAAGAGCATCTCCAACCATATCATTTTAGATTGCTAAAAGTTATAATATAACTAGTTAAACACTTTTGTTCTTCTCCAAAGGGTATGCTTTATTTTAACAAGTTTGCCAAAAAATGACTTTGGCTTGCTAAATATAACACGTCCCTCAAAATTTAGCTAGCCAATACCTAAAAAATAAAACAAAAAATTATGGTTAGAGGATGAAACAAAAAAGTGCTTGCTATATTACTATTCACTTGCTATAATGTAAAAATAGCAAATTTATATAACAAGCATGGTTGAAGATGCTCTAAGCAAATCTTTGATGTCACATAGAAGTTAGAGCATAATTTTAAATTTCATCTTCATTAAGCGTTAGACTTAAAAGGTATAAAATTAAATTATTCATAGTAATTTTTTGGGCAATGCTAGGGGTACACCAATACGGGGTACCCTAAGTGTACACCAAGCCAACACAGACACACACAGACACAAAATGTCTGTGCAACACAGACACTTTGTGTCTGTGTGTGTCTGTGTTGGCTTTGGTGTACACTTGGGGTTCCCCATGTTGGTGTACTCCTAACTTAATTCTAATTTTTTTTATATATTTTTGTGAAGTATGAACGAATTTTACCTTTGTGATTTAAGCGACATCATTGTCGATATAAAACGTCGTCTCCCATATATTGCTAGCGTTGCTCCCAAACGTGCCTTGGTCTTGACATCGATTCCGTTGTCAATAGTGTCACAAATAAATTTCTTAGCATATTATTTCACAAACCCATGTTACACTTACGTTAGGATTAATTAAAAACAAAAAGAATGTTTATGGGAATGATGGTGAAGCCAATTATTGGAGAAGAGAAATAGTAGGAAGAGACCATACTCGTATACGGAGAAGAAACAGAAATAGGAATCAATGTTTTTATACTCGATATTTTTTAGAAATATTTGCACTAAATAGCACTAAAATTTAAGTCATTTCCCTAAATAGCATTTAAATTGTTTTATTCTCTAAATAATACTTAATAATGTCCATAATGTCCAGTGATGACAAATATCTACTTGAATAATGACTAATGCATAATGACTAAAAGTGCTACATTGGAAAGAAAAACACATGTGGTGCTATTTAGGGAAAGTCATTACGTATTAGTGCTATTTAAGTAAATTTCCCTTTTTTTATTATTAATTTAATATTTTTCATTTATTTATTATTTAATAAAACTTTCAAAATATTTAGCATTTATCATATCGATTTAAGACTTTACGAACGTATAGTATTATAAACATTTTACATGACATGTACATTATACTCCTACCATTTAAATACTTATTCCATATTTAGTTTTAGAGTATACCATTAAAGAAAATAAATTTAACATTTATTTTTGTTACCGGCCTTAATTTTATGTTTTACACTGTACGCACCATTTATTATTAAGCATATCATTCATTATATGTGAAAACAATTATTAATTTCATTAATTACACGTCGTAAATAATTGTAAATTATGAAGTTAACATTTATTTATGTCACCTTGTATTATTAGTTGCACAGTAATATATATGTTCTACATGGTATGCTAAATGCTAAATTATCATTTATGTTTCCTTTTATGTTTTACACTGGAGGCCAGTGCCAACGGAATCTCACCGTTTAATATTTATTTATGTTTCTTTTTACGATTTTATTTACACGGCATTATGTTTTACGTAGTACATGGTATGCTACCATTAAATTACACGGTATGCTATCCTTACTCTAACATTTATTTAAGTTTCCTATTATTATTTAAACAATATGTCCCTACTATTTATTACGGAGTAACATTTATTTAAGTTTCCTATTATGTTTTAAACAATATGTCCCTATTATTTATGTTTAAAAAATGGTATTTTCTTTTGTAATTTTTTCTAAATTATCATTTACGAAGTATGTTTCTTTTTATGCTTTACACAGTATGATTTATTAAAATAATCTTACATTTATTTATATTTCCTTTCTATGTTTTACACGGTATGTGCTTACCATTTATTATATTCAAAATAATAGTAGGGACTAGGGACCCAAGGATCATGCTCCGATCTTAGTGCATTTGTACTATAAAAAAGTGAGTCTTTTACAAAATAGAAAATATTTTCATGAAAATCCATGAAAAATATGAGAAAGTCTACATTTTAAATATGGACTTTGCGATCATGAAAACATCACTCATGATAATAATAATAATGATGATGATATTTTTTCCAATTACTTTTTTTTTGTGCATGAAACATTCTTTTGGAAATATGTATTACCTTTGGTTTAAATTTCTTTAAAGCTGCCTCTTTTCCCGCTAAAATCATTCATTTTTGCTGTAATCCTTGGGAGTCTACGACCATTTAGACAAATTCTAGAATGTTTACTAAAGCTTTGGACTTATGAGTTAAAATTATACCCCTTCCATCTCAAATTAAAAGGCGTACTCTTGTCTCTTAAATTCTTTTTTTTCTTTTTACTTATGTCATAAATTCTTTCACTTTTTTATTAAAAAATCACTCTTACTCCTATTGATTCTTAATATAAGTATTACATTATATTTCTTAGTAATAATATATCCATCAGATCAAGGATATTTTTGGAAAGTCAGCACAAAAATATCCCTGACTTAATTTTTTCAAAAAGTTTGAAGAATTTTAGGGAACGGATAAAGTTTTTTTAACAATGTTTGATGGATTATTTTTCATTCAATTTATAAGATAACTGGAGTGAAATTAAAAAATAAATTTAAACTTTTCAAAATAAAACTATATCAAACCTCTACAAAATAAGTTGTAATATGACTATACAGAATATTATTTTATCAAATGATTAACGAAAATATGTAAATACAACTTGACCTTATAAATAGTGAAAATTTTGTTTAATTTGGGAAGGAGGGAGCATTTATTAACATTCAAAATATTTAAGAATTTGATTTAAAAAAATCAAAAGTAAAACGTGTTGGATATAAGAACATCTCCATCCGTTTTAATTAAAATTCTTCCATCCAATCTTTTTCTCTCAGCTCACATGATCCCCACATTATCTATTTTTTAATATTATTTTATTTTTTAAACAAACACTCACACAGTTACTAGTTTTACTCATCAATCCGTTTAATTAATTACTAATGGGATCACTTTTTTAGTCTACTTTATTCATTATTATGAATAATTTATATTCCGTATTTTATTTATTATAACACAATTGATATATAAAATATTATGAAAAATATTAAAATAAAAATTTAGGATTAAATACTAACAACTTTGTTTTAATTAAATAAAATATTTTAATGTTTGGGAATTAAATACTACAAATTCAATATTTAAAAAACTAAAATAGTAATGATTAAATATAATGAACCCGGAACGAAACTAAAATTTACGTCGTTGCCCTTCATGGTTCTGATATTCTTATGTCAATGTCTCTCTAAACTAAAATATCTTTCAAAATTTAGGTAAATAGATCTGCTGGCCCCTATACTTTTGGAAATGAGCAACAATGTCCGCTTTCTTTTTTTCTTTATTGTTTTAATTTTAAAAAAGAAAAATTTTGAAAAATAACTTAGACATCTATGAAAAAAGAGAAGTAAAAAAGAAAAATATCAAAGTAAAAAGAGTGGGGGCGTTGGTGTATATTTCTAAAATTATATGAGGCAACAACACTATTCACATAAGGTTCTTAAGATATTTTAATGTAGAAGGGCATTGACGTAGAAAATATCAAAATAATAAGAGGGTAACGAACTAAGTTTTGAAATCACGGTATTTGTGCAATAAATTATCCACCATTTTAAACAACTTTTTAAAACCACCAATGGAAGTGATCTAACGATGAACCCCATCCCTGAGGCTCTCTTAGTCCCAGCTGGAGGGTCAATGAGAAAAAATAAATTAAACTTTATTCATTAATTGGTGGCAGAAAGTGAAGCATGCACTTCGTACTTCCAAAGATCACATGTTTAATATAATTGTTAGAATCAAACTCGAATCTACAATCTTAGCGTTATCTCTTCCTTTGCCAGCAACCTACTATTACTAATACTAGAGTGTGAACTTGCTGACAACTTTATAAAAAAGTAAAAAAAATTAGGTATATATATGTGTGTAATGTTGCTTGGCAATTCAAAGTCGAACATGAGTTTTAGTTTGTTAAATAAAAAAGTGTGGGTGTGTTAGTTGTATGGCATACATGGCGTCGTCAACTTGGCTGCACATCCTGCTTGCGGCGGTTTTTACTACCGTTGCGGCGGATGATGGTCCGGCGTGCCTTGACCAGGAGGCAATGCAGAATCTGAAGGCCAGTCTTGTGTTCCCGACGGGATCATCCGTCGTCTACGGCATGGAAAGTTGGAATAAGCCGAATGCATGCGGGTGGAACGGGATATTTTGCGACGTCTCCGGCAGGGTTTGGAAGGTCAACATCGAGGGTTTCAATCTCGGAGGCACCCTCACGGCGGCCGGCCTCGGATCACTTCCCAACCTCCGTGAGCTCTACGCTAAACTCAACAAGTTCACCTCACTCCCGTCCGATCTCTTCGCTAATTTGACGAAATTGGAGGTAGTCTCTCTCGACCAAAACACTTACCTTTCGCCGTGGAACATCCCGGAGAGTCTCACGGCGGCTCGGAATCTCTCCTCTTTCTCCGCCGTCAATTCTAACGTGCAGGGAACCTTACCGGAATTTCTCACCGGGGAAAACTTCCCGGTCTTACGTTTTCTTGATCTCTCGCTCCATAGTTTGTCCGGGCCAATCCCTTCCCAGCTTCCGGCAACTCTGGAGACTCTCCGGCTGAGCGCACTAAACCAAGAACATCATTTGTCCGGCGAAATACCCGACCTGTCCCACTTCACGTCTTTGAAAGAACTCGACGTGGACTATAACGATCTTACCGGTCCAGTGCCGGAGAACATCCCATCAACACTGCAAGTTTTGAGCATGGCGGGTAACCAACTCACCGGACCTATTCCTCTTTCCATCGCGAGCTTGACCAGTCTTACCAAACTGGACCTTTCCCTGAATCAGCTTTCCGGCGAGATACCGGACCTCTCCCGCCTCACAACTTTGCAAGAAGTGGATCTGGCGGGTAATAGTCTGACCGGAGCTATTCCTCCGACCATCACGGGTTTGACCAATCTTTCAACACTCGACCTTTCTGAAAACCAGCTTTCCGGCGAAATACCCGACCTTTCTCCCCTTGCGTCCTTGAAAAACCTATACACGCGCAATAATAGCCTTACCGGTCCGGTGCCGGAATCACTGGTGAACCTCACTTTGCTGGAAAATGTGATCCTGGCGGAAAACAGTCTGACGGGAACTATTCCTAGGAGCATCACGCGTTTGACCCATCTTTCCGAACTCGACCTTTCTTACAATCAGCTCTCCGGCTGTGTCCCGCCAATGACTACCGGCGACTACGGAGATGAGGAAGTGATCAAAACAGAGGGAAATGCCGGTATAACTGGAACATGCCCGCCGTGATTAGGAGGACGACGATGTCATGTCTAGCCGGTCCAGAGTCAAGGCTCCATCTGTTTGTTTCCACATTTCATTCTTGTTCACTACCCCATTTTGCACTATCCTATACGTTTTTTATTTTTATATTAAGCCGTATCTCAAGATTTCTAGAAGGGCTGCAACTATGCACTTTCATTTTGAATGAGCGTAATACCACTTTGATATATAGTTTACAGAGGCTACCGGCGACGAAGGTGAGGAAGTGATCGAAACAGAGGGACATGCCGGTATATATAACTGTAACATGCCCGCCGTGATATTATATTAGGAGGACGACGACGGCGACGTGAGGTTGGATGTCATGGCTGTTTGTTTCCACTTTAAAGCTGACGTCATTTCATTCTTGTTCACTACTCCATTTTGCACTATCCTAATAATTAATTTTCCTCTGTAATTTTATTTTCGATCTTTCTAAAAGTGTACGTCTCTGTTTAATACACCTATTAAGTTTTTGAAAATTTTTACCTCATTTCCTAATGTACAAGTTAAACTCTTTTGTTTTTTGAATAGAACTTAATAATGTCTAGTAAGAAGAATAATGTCCAGTGACTGTAAACATTTACTTAAATAATGACTAGTTGAAATGACCAGTGATTCTACCTTGAAAAATAAAAACATATGATTATATCTTGACAAAGTCATTAGGTTTTATTTCTATTTAGGTAAATTTTCCTAAGTTTTTCATCTTTTTATTTATTTTTTTGTTCTTTTACACATTTTTTTCGATCTAATAACTATCTGTTACTATTTAATTATTCACTAGTCTGTATGTCCAAATAAGTTATTCCACTAAGGGCCTATTTGAGAATAGTGTTAGAGATTAGCGTTAGCGTTTTGGATAAAATTTTAATGGTGCAGATTACTTTTAAAACGCTAACCCTAAACGCTATCCGTAGATAGCTTTTTCAAAATGCTAATGCTAATAGTTAACGCTATTCCCAAACATGCCTTAAATCTTTGACTGAACTCCGACCTAATGAAACAACTTCCAAATAATATAATTGGGCAAAACAAATTGGGAGTGTACCAGGAATGCTTTCTAAGAATCAACTCAATCAAAAATTCAAGTTTGTATTTGTGACCCGGAATAATATAAAAATTATATATTAAAAAATATAAATAAAAAATTTTACAACATTAGAAACAAAGTGACTATATTATTTTTTTAAATAAGTAATAGAATTGACAAAGAAAAAATAAAATAAAATTTGCCTATATATATTAATTAAATTGAGCTTATCACTTGGATGCTCACCCCTTTGTTGGGCGAATTGAGTGTGGAGGCTCGACAAAGAAGGGCAGCCGGCCCTAGTCTTGGTTCGACCCATATGGCAGTAAATTAGGTTTTGAATTTGGCCGGCCCTAATTCTCTATGTGGGCTTGGGCCTAACTTGGGGATTAAGTTTTCAACCCTAGTTTAGTCTTCATAAATAAGGATCTCTGTACTTGTAATT